CCTGTTGCTTTTGATGCACCCTCCCTAGTTTGCTTTTCATCTCTCCCATTAAATACAGGGACAGAAAGTAGTGAACAGACTGAGTCCCTTATTTTAATCTCTGTTTAAAATCTTCAAGACAAAACAAAATTAACATCTTCATTCATTGTGAGTCTTGTGAATTAAATATAGTCTAAGCCTTCCAGTTAGCTCCGAGACTTCATTCCTTGGGAGTGTTTTCAGCTTTGTGGATTCGGTGCACTGCACTGGCATAATGCTAACCATCAACCATCAACCACACCACTTAAGGCACACAGATACTTTACATAATTGTTAGTTCTTCTGCCAGCATTGACATTGTTAACTACTCTTCATATCTTAGAGTTGTGCAATATTTTGTCAGGTATCAACTTCCGTGGATGGAAACCTAGTTCTTCCTTATGCCTCTTAAGGACAGTGGAGAGGGAGAAGTGTGAGGTCTTGCTCCAACTGCTGATTCCTCTTTGTGCTTCAAGCCCTTTTCTGCTTCCATTCCAAATTTTTAGATGTAAAAACTGGTTAATGGTCTTACTGTCCTTTGTTGAGCAAAAGTAAAGAGGGAGTGAATGTGAATATGTAATAAAAGCTTTGTATAGATCATCCCTTTCTTCCACAATCCAAAAAGCACATACAGCTTGATTCTGAATGATAAAAATGTACAAGTATGTTGGACCAAGTAGACTTTTGATTCTTACAGTAATATCTCCCACTCTCTATTTCCATATGTTTTTATTAAACAAATGTCACCTGATGGTTTAAATGGTATTACTGTATAGACTGATTATTATTGAGTGGTTCTTGTCTCTTCTGTTTTTTGTTGTTTGTTTGTGACAGGGTTCCTGTGTGTAGTCCTGACTGTCCTGGAAATCACTCTGTAAACCAGGCTGGCCTCGAACTCAGAGATCTGCCTGCCTCTGCTTTCCTGATGGTGGAATTAAAGGCATGGGTTTTATTGCCCTTTTCACAGGCATCTTATAGTTTAGTATTTATGATGTTTAGATTTTTTTCTATCCAAACATTCTCTTCTGTTTTTTCGGGGGGGGGGGGTTGTAGACAGGGTTTCTCTGTATTGTTTTGGAAGTTATCCTGGAACTTGCTCTGTAGACCAGGCTTGCCTCAAACTCACAGAGATCCGCCTGCCTCTGCCTCCTGAGTGATGGGATTAAAGGTGTGCGCCACCAACACCTTCTTTCTTATTTTTTTACCTTCTTCCTTACCCCTTCTCTCCTTTCCTACATGTTTGCAAATGTGGAGTTGTCGGTTCAGCCATTAGCCATGCTTTGTTTATGGCAGGGGAGAATTCGGATAGTGGGGAGCAGACACAACAGGTTTTTTGTTTGTTTTGTAAAGCTAGGCTGTTCCTTTCATGATGTGAGAAGTCTTCTGCATGTCTTCAGTTATGCCTCTTACTTTGGGGGGTCATAGGGTGCTTTTGAGGTAGGGTTTTGCTCTGTAGCACCACCTTCTGATTCAGCTTGGTGTACTGACATGACATGTGTGCAGGATCCCACTCAGTTGGGTTTTATTGTCCCATAGCTCATTGCTTTATTGTTACTATTTCCTTGGGCCATTATTTTAAGAAACCAAATCACTAATATCCCTCCTCTTAATTTCTTTTTTTTTTTTTTTTTTTTTTTGGTTTTACGAGACAGGGTTTCTCTGTATTGTTTCGGAGGCTATCGGTCCAGCCTGGCCTCGAACTCACAGACATCCGCCTGCCTCTGCCTCCTGAGTGCTGGGATTAAAGGCGTGTACCACCACCGCCCGGCTTAATTTCTTTTATTAGGAAACCTGATACTTTTCCAAAATTCTGTAACCTAACCTGATTTTGTTTCACACCTTACACATGTAGAGAAGAGATGTTGGGCAGGCAGTACTAACCTTTTGTTACAATAGGTGAGGCAGCAAAGGTTGAAGATTGATCTTGGAATGCTTCTCACCATCCTTTGTGTAATCATTGCCATATTCAAACTACAGACAATTTTTGATCTGATTTTAACATCATATAAGTATATAAGTATACAGAGACATCACATAAATGTAATATGTGCAGTTTCTCTAACTCACAACTTTTTCTTCCTATGGTGGGGGTAAATTAGTGTTTTCATTTTGCTTTGGTTACTTTTGGTCATTATGAGATAGAGTCTAATTGTATAGTCCCTGGCTGTCCTGCATCTCACACTGTAGACTGGGCTGGCTTTGAAATCAGATCCACCTGTGTCTGCCTGAATGCTGGAATTAAATATGTGTGCCACCATTGCCCTGTTTAAAATAATTTTTTAAATTGAAATTTGAGATGGGTTAATAGCATAAGTTTGGAAGTGTCTGAGATGCTTTTTCCTAAATTTAAATGGCAGAATGTAAGTAACATCAGGTCTTTTAATTCACTTTTTCACATGTACTTTGAATTTGACATTTTTTGTGCATTAAATGAAATTTTTAAGTTTGCATAAAATGTTAGGTAGTCATGTATAAACACTCTAAAGTGCATTTTGTGTTCCATGCAGGTATTTTTTGGCCATGATGAATATTGATTGGCTAAAATTAGATTGTCAAATCAGTGTAATAAAGTGAATTACTCATTGCTCAGAAGTATTTGTGTAAATTAAAATTAACTATAGTACAACTGCTGTATGTATTAAGGAAAAAAATACACTTGCTTCCTATGGCCTTGCTGCTTTCTGATAGTCCATTTTCGTGTTCTTACTAGAGAAACATGGGTGCATTGTAAATAGTCTGTAGTGAAAATGAGCACACTAACAAGCTTTTCCAGACTGAGTCAGTGCTTGTGCGCTTCCCTTTTCTTTTTCTGATTTTGAGACAGTGTCTCACTATGCAGCTTTGACTGACCTGGAACTCTCCGTGTAGACCAGGTCGGTCTCAAACTGAGATACACCTGCCCAAGCCACCCAAGTGCTGGGTTGTTATGAGTCGAGCTGCCCTCCAGCCAGGCCTTCCTTTATGTTTTACTGAAACCTTGTTTAGTTCAGGGCCAGTCATAAGATGGGTTAAAAGGAGCTTGGATTCAGTGCAGGCATACTAGGCTTTCCTTCCAGCACTTACCTTTCTTTGATACAAGGTATGTCTAGAAGTTAGTAGAAGGAGACCGTAACTGGTTATTTTATTTTATTCCTTTTAGAGTCTTGTATGTTTTTATGTGTTATATTTTATTTATTATGCATTAAGAAATGTTTAGGTGTATTCCTAGATAACAACTAATAGTCATCTCTGGGTGTTGTTTTATATGTGTCCCTAATGTAATTTTCTGAAACAATTGTGTGACATCACCAAGTGTTAGTTACCTTTCTCCTTTTTTGTGATTAAGTACCTGTCAAGAAGCAATGTCAGAACGGATTTGTTTTGGCTGACAGTTGAGGGGTGGATACAGTTCACGGCGGGACAGGCAAGGTAGTATAGGTGCTTTCATTTACTTAGTAATTGCCCCGAAGATGCTAGAGCAGTGTAAGAACTGTATCAGCCAGACCTTACCATTTCCTCTGTATAAGCACTTCCATAATGGCCTTGTTTTTTCCTTTTCTGTAGAGCCGAAATGTTACTGTATAGCCTGTTACAAAGTGTGCCAAGTTCAAGTGTGCTGACCTTAGATGTAAATGACTTGTACTCACGGGCATATTCATTCCCTGTTGCATTTTCATAGCAGTTTATTTTTTTTTCTTTTTTGGGGGGTTGGATTTGTTTTGTCATTTTTGAGATGGGGTATCACTATGTATGTGACTCTTTGAGCTTGTAACCCACCTGCTGCAGCCTCTCCCAAGTATTGGAGTCACAGGAATGTACCACCATGCCTAATTCTTAATAGCATCTAGAAGTGTGGCACCTAGAGCACATATAGTTTATCTCCTGCTATACAAAGCTGCTTAGTCCCGGAGCTCAGGACAGTGCACGATTACTTTTTTTTTTTTAAGTTATATTAATGTGCTTCCTAAACCTCCACAGACTCAACGATCTCTTTTCAGAGATGGAACCAGAGTTGTCACTGTGAAAACAGGGTTCTCTGTGGAATCCCTTACTTTTTAAATTCATTGTTGGTTTTGTTGAAGTTTGATTTTGAAGTAGTCTTACTGTGTAGCCCTGGGTAGTCTTGAAACCATAGCAGTCCTCCTGGCCCCAGTTCCTGAGTGCCACCCACACCAAAGTTGTCTTGGTAGATAAGATACCCCAGCCCTGCCCTTTTGTATTGTTTTATTTGTACCTGTGTCTCTTGAGAACCATTTCCACAAACTCTTCTCTCTTCATTCCTTGTATGTAGATAGGCCACAAGTATTTAAACTAGTGATTGAATTTGTAACTTTCTACATTATATAAGGTACTTTGAAGTTTTTACTGTTACATAATTAATAGAAGTCCCTTTAGATGGATGAACTATATGAGTGTATAGAGTCTGTCAGAGAGAGAGAGAGAGAGAGAGAGAGAGAGAGAGAGAGAGAGAGAGAGAGAGAGAGAGAGAGAGTGTGTGTGTGTACCAGAAGTAGATGCCAGCTGTCGTCACTTCTCCCCCTTATCGTTTAAGACAAGGGGGCTCACTGTGCTGAGTTCACTGATTGGGTAGACCAGCTTGCCAGCATACTGCTGGGATCCATCCAGCTCCCTGCTCCCCACTATAGGTAGCACTTGGGTTACAACCTTACACCACCATGAACCCAGGTCCTTATGATTTTATGGCAGGCCATTTACTCACAGAGCCATATCCCGGGACTGTGGCGCTCTGTAATTCAGTTGCAGGCGTACCACGTAGATCCTAATTCCTGCCTCTTCACTTGAAACAGCTGAGAACGGAACCCTCTACTCCAGATTCCTACATGGAGTCCTGGGGATCTGTAAAATATTTTTTTAGATTTGTCATCTGTTCTTACACAAACTTGTTAGCAAGGCAACCATTTCTATTCATATATCCATTCTGTTCCTGGCTTGAGGTAAACCTGAGTGACTTTAGCTGTTTTTGTCTCTTTCCTCCTTCCTAGGTTCAGGATATCTGTTTCAGCCATGATTGTCGCTGGGTTGTGGTCAGTACCCTCCGGGGTACTTCTCACGTTTTCCCCATCAATCCTTATGGTGGCCAGCCTTGTGTCCGAACACACATGTCACCACGAGTAGTGAATCGCATGAGCCGTTTCCAGAAAAGTGCTGGGCTGGAAGAGATTGAACAAGAACTGACATCTAAGCAAGGCGGCCGCTGTAGTCCTGTTCCAGGCCTATCCAGCAGCCCTTCCGGCTCCCCCCTGCATGGTAAAAAACTCTCCTCTCTCTCTCTGCTGCTTGCTCTGTGTCATGAATTTTATTGACTTCATATCAGATGAAATTTTTAAAATCTGTTTGTGCTGTGGTTAGGTCCTAAGCATATTAATGAAATTGATATTTATTAAATCAATTAAAAGTGTGAATCAAAATGACAATGGTGATGTTGTCACACTATTTTAACTGCTTTGCGTTTTCTGTATATACTGAGTATTTAGTTTGAGATTCGGTCTGTTTTCATAACATTTGAGTGTGTATTCCAGAACATCCTTTGTATACTGGGCTGATATTGCAGTTCAGCAAGAATATTTGTTATTACAATGGAATTGTCATGAGCTGTATACTTCATTTTAAAGTAAAGCTCTCTGGAATTCATCCAGTTCATTGCAGAACAAAAAGTTATTCCAATACCATCATCCTGATCAATACATGGAACATCAACAGAATCCTTCCCTGTCACATCTTTATAATATTAAACCACGGTTCTGGACATCATGGTGTTCACCTGTATTTAAAAATACATTCACTCCAGAGAAACTCTTAAATATGTTCCATTTGCTCTAAATGGACTTAAATATAGTGGATGCGTTTTTATAAGATCTATTTATGGTGTGGGATAGTTTACTTGGTTTTGGTTTTGATACAGTCATCTTCAAATTATAATTTTACTTTGAATTTGGGCTTCCTACCTTAGACTCCTGTATGCTGGATTACAGGCCACACTCCTCTTCCCTTCTTGTTTTGAGAGTTGTTTTATGTAGATGACAGTTAATTCAGTCAGTTTTGAGGTGTTTGAGGTTAATCTTTCTGAAAGGCTGTATTTCATTTGCCTACCCCTTCCCTTGTTCAGACGTGGTTATCGTGTACAACCATACTGAAGTACACTTGCACATGAAGTGTGCATGAAGTTTTTCTATTGTTTTTATTAAAAATGCATATTCTCTTTTGAAAGGAAATTCTGAGTCATTCCATAGGTAAATCTTTTATGATTTTTTTCATCTTTCTAAAGTTGTGTTTGTTTCAGATAATTATAACCCACAGTAGCCTGGAATTTATAATCCTCCGGCCTCAGCCTCTGGAGAGCTGTATTGTAGCTGTACTCTACCATACCCAGTTGATGTGATTTTCACTTAGTTATTAACCCCAAAATGATTGTGCCATTTCGTTCCCTTCAAAAAGACTTAACGTGTTGATGTTTGTTTCTGGAGAATTGCATATTGTCCTTAATAGTGACCGTTTTATATTTTCAAGATTGAGGTATTTTATATGGAAAGATTATGGTTATACAATAAAGACTCCTTAATTTTTATCCATCTGGAGTTCATGTAAAACATTTTAACATGAACACATGCACAGTACTATTAACCACTACCCTGTCTCTAAAACATTTCCCTCTCGGCAGTGGGGAGTCACTTATGCTTCAAACAGTTTCTTACTATGTGTTCTTCACGCCCGGACGTTTCTCACTGTTTTGGGCCTGGTAGCTGGTTCAGCTGCCTTACCCGCAGCCCTTTCCTGCTGACACTTCGCATGGTCGCTTCACTCTTTGTGTTTTCCCATTTTGGAGGCATAGGCCTCAGAGCAGTGGTTGTTTCTCTTCATTTTCTCTTTGTGTCTTCTATGTCAAAACAAAATGGGCATTGTTGTTGGTTAGTTCTAAAAATGATGTATTTACAGTTTGTGTGGGTAAACAGTCTGATGCTGGTTAAAAACAATGTAAACCTTGGAGCAGGGAGGGATTCATCTTGAAAATGAATCATGTCTTGGCTACATTGCGTTGTTTGCGCTCTTTTTAGCAAAGTAAAGGAAACTGTTAAATGACAGTTGATATAGGGGTATTTCCTTTTAGCTTTCTGGAGCCAATCCAGTTTGGGTTAGGATTTTTAAGTTTTCCAGAGGATGTTTATTTATTTGAAGTATATTCTTTTAAATATCTCTTTGTTTCCTATCTCATTGCCTTGGGCTTTAGAACAGATAAGACATTCTTAGGTTCAGATTCTTGAGTATGCTTCAACTAAAATGCATACTAATTTACATTTTGAACATGGAAAACACATGACAGTGTCCTGAGAAGCTGCTTGTGGCAAATGCAGATTGTCCTTAACACATTATATGGGAAATAACATCTTGATATATCTTAAATAATATATTATATGTGAAATAATATCTTGAAGTGTCTTCAATTATTGTTTCTTTGGATACTGTCTGTGCTTGCCATGCTTTCAAACTACATTTGACTGTAGTATTACTTTAATATGACATCATGTATCACTATGTCATATTAAAAATACAGCATCATTTTTCCTTAATAAGTATATGCACTTATTTATAACTGATATGTATTATTCTCAGCCGTGTCTAGATTTGCAAATAGTCTATCAAGCAGAAGTAATTATGGATCTCTGATAATTATTTCTTCCCTCATCCAATTCAATTACCTCTTGCCGTATTTGAAAAAAAGCTAGTGAAACCATTTCCTTTTTAACCATAATATGATCTCCTAACTTCTGGTAAAAATTGTGTGTCTCACCAAGCTGTTATCTGGATAGGTGGAGGATGCCCCATCTGAGCCCCTTCTATAAATTTCCCCCTTGCTTTCCCTTTTGAGAAATGGCATCTTGTTTTGCTTTTTTTTTTTTTAACACTGGAGCTGTCATTAAAGCATCACTGCTTATTAATGAAACTTGCTACCTAAAACTTCTTAAGTTGTGTTAGTGTTGTTTGAGGTGTAAGCAGCAGTATTGCCCTTATTTGAATATAATTCCTTATTGACACATCAGTATCTCTGATTGACCTCAAAGTTGGGAAAACCTTTTTTGTTTTCTCTTGTTATCTTGGCTCATCATGTACCAGTTGGTAAAATTTCAAAGACATTAAACATATTTAGAAGTTATTCCAAGAGAAACAGAGGGAAGGAATACAGGGAGAATTGTTGCACACCTTTAATAATAGTACTCTGAAGGTCGAGTCAGCAATATAGTGAGACCCTGTCTCAAAAACAATTGAAGAAATTGGGAAATGCCTAGAAAGGATTTTCACTTGAAATTGCCATCCTGTTTATGGATGCTGCTATGGTGATATTTGAGCAAAGACCTGATGGGAAGCAGACAGTACAGCTCTAACCTGAGCTGAGAATATGCCTGGTGTGCTCAGGGGACAGCAGGATGGCTGGTGTGGTCCAGCACAGTGTCTCCATATAACAGTGATGCTCAGTAAATGCACCTGCTTATGGTAGACTTTGACTCAGAGTAGCATGGGGTCACTATGGTAGGTTTTGAAGATAGGAATGATCAAAGCTGTGTTTTGGTTGCTCTGTGTGGAAATTGGTATGGAAAAAGCACAGTCTGAGGGTAGGCAAAGGTGGAAACCTCGAGAAAGTAGTGACAGAGTATTGACAAAGTCCAGTAAGAGAGGACTCCCGGGGTTGAAACTAGGTTGGTCATCACAGGTTTGTTAGAGGTGTGTAGTCATTTTCTCATTGTATATGTTTATGTGTATTCATATTTATGTATGGCATGTGTTTATGTGTCACAGGGTCTCTCCTCTAGCCCAGACTAACCAGAGCTCACTTTTATTAAACTGCTGTTCTCTCATTTTCATGGCAATCTTCCTCCCTAGTTCTGGATTATAGATGTAAGCTACCACAACCAATTTCAATGTAGTTAGTGGTAGAACCATCATCATTTTCGTTTGTTTGTTTGTTACATTTTATATGCAACAGGAAAGACTGGTTGAGTCATGAAAGAGTTGGGGTTGTTATCAATTGAAATAGAAACACTCTGTGTCAGCAGGTTTTGGCATAAAAACAGGGTTGAAAATTTTGGATGTGTTAAGTTTAATACCTTGTTTAGCCACTCATTTCTCTCATCTATCTCTTTTTCCTATGTTTTGTCTCTTATTCTGTCCTTCTTCACCTTTTTGGAGACAGAGTCTCACTATATAGCCCCAGCTAGCAAGCTATAATTATGTTTGTTGGGCACTGGAAAGATGTTCTATGTAAGTGTAAATAACAATTCAATGAATATTATTAAATGAAATAAAGATTTGAGTTTCTTTTCTATAGGCTTTTAATTGCTTTCAATATGGACATTAGCCTGTGACTCTTTCTAAAATGGGAAATGATACAACAATTGAAAGTGGTTCTCATGGTTCTACATAGTTTGTTGTGTGTGTTCCTGACAACCCTCAGGATTGGCTCTCTCCCTTCATCATGTAGGCCTTAAGTTTTGAACTCAGATGAGGAGTCAGACTTGGCTGCATCTGTCCCACTGGCCCCATTTACTTTTGCCATTCCTTTCATTTCAAATAGGCTTTCCTTTCATATTTAAGAATCTAGTGTCCGCCCTGTCATGAGACTTTTAAGAACTGATTGCCTGCTCAAGGTCTTGGTCCCTTCCCTGTGGGTGCTTTAACCTAGACTGGCCTCATTATGTAGCTAAGGCTAGTCTGGAATCACTGATCCCTCTTTCTGCCTCCGCCTCCCTGGCTCAGAGACTGGTCTGTGTCCCTTAGCCCAGCATCTTTCTCTCTAACTCTGGAGAAGGAGTTATGTTTGAGCGGCAGCTTTTGGCAACTGTGTTCCAGATTCTGCTCCTTCCCAACCCCAGATCTGAGGGCTTTGAAGGTGGCCTCTCAGTTCTTGGACCCAGAGCTGCTATGTTTCAGCAAAAGGCTTACAAGTCCAGCAGCATCTCTTTCCTTTTAGCATCTGTGTATGGTGTTCATGTCTTACCGCTCAGAGACTGTTTATAGCCTTCGTTTGATGGCTTATTGTAATTATTTACTTTGGTTGATAGGGAGTTTTCTCGATACAGACCGCATCACATTGTAAATACAGAGCAACCACACAGCTCCGCCTTGCACAGCTTCCCCTCCTTGAGAGTCAGCACCAATCTTGACTGCTCCTTCCACATCACTGTTTACTTGTGGACTGAAGTTTCCATGAGTGTTTTAATTTTTGCCAAGAAAAATCAATCATGTGTGGTGTAGTT